GGCGCAGCCAAAAAAGGTGGGACCGGCTCGCGCGCTGGGGAGCCCCGCGGAGAACTGGGGGGAGGCGGGACTGGGGGAGGCTGCGGAGGACTGGGGGACAGTGGCGCGGGGGGGGCGCCCCCAAAGCTGAGGACGCAGGACCCTGTCCCTGCAGGGAGGGGCAGCCGGAGGCCCTCACCCACGGGGCGCGGGAAGGGGCCTGGGGCTCCCCAGGAGCGGTCAGGAGCTGCCCACAGAGGGGCAGAAGCTGCCCCATGACGCGCCGGGGCTCGCTGCAAGGAGGCGCCAGGCGCAGGCCGGTGCTGACGGCCTCCGGGCCCAGCTGGGGCTCCCCGCTGACCGGCCCTCAGGCGCCCCACGGCAGAGGATGCTGCGGTCACTCCGCAGGGGCCTCTGGGGGCGTCCAGGCCCCCCCCCCGAGGAATGTCCAGCGATGCAGCTGGCCCGCAAGGTCCCGGCGTCCAGGCCAGCTCCGCCGCGGCCCCGGGGTCACCGCTGACCCGGGGCCTCGGGGTGGGCGGCTGGCCAAGGCCGTCCACCGGGCCCCAGGGCCTCGGGGTGACGCTGGGCGGGTCAGGACAGTCTGAGCTCTGCGGAGACGGTGCCCGGCCGCCCCGCTCGGGCCCACTTTGCTCGACCTGCAGGCGGGGTCCGCACTGAGGCGGCCGCACTGCCCAGTCCAGCCTGGGGCCGGCCAGCGAGGCCGTGGCCAGCTGCACGGTGCTCCGGCCGTTCTGTGGACATTGATGTGGCGGCCTCTTTCCACGCTGCGTCCTCACCTGCCGGCTGAGAGGCCCGTACTGGCCGGTCCACCCAGCTGGGCTCGGGCGGCCGCTCCCCGTCCGCCGTGTCCACCCGCGCTGTCCTCTGCGCCCCACCCGCACCCCAGCGGGCACGTCGACGAGCCGGGCACCCTGACTCGGAGCGGGCGGGACGCAGCCCTGGGGGACCTTCCCCAGCCCCTCCCCGAGGCGGCCTCGGCTCGGCTAAGTGGTCGGCCCTGCCCGGGACAGCTGTGTCCAGTGTGCGTGGAGCGGGGTGACTCTGGGGGAGCAGAGGTCCCCACTGCAGACCCGGGCTGGCTGGCCGGGGGCTCCGCTCCGCCCCAGCACCCCAGAGAGCAGGGGAGGGTGGTTCCCCGTGCTCAGCCCTGCTGGCCAGTCTGGGCCAAGGTGACCTCAGTAGTGACCAGCACCGAGGGGTCCGGCAGGCAGAGTCTTCAGACACCCAGAAACCAACGGGGGTGTCTGGCCGCCCTGGGAGCTGAGGGC